AACAAAGGAAACCATCAAAAAAGTGAAAAATCAGCCTACTGAATGAGAGAACATATTCACCAATGATGAATCTGATAAGGGTTTAATATCTAAAATTTATAAAGAACTCATAAATCTCAATACCAAAAAACAAGTAATCCAATTAAAAAATGGGCAAAGGACCTGAATATAAACTTCACCAAAGAAGACATACAGATGGCCAATAGACATTTGAAAAGATGCTTAAGATCACTAATAATCAGAGAAATGCAAATTAAAACCACAATGAGATATCACCTCACACCTGCCAGAGTGGTTATCATCAATAAGTTAACAAACAACAAATATTGGCAAGGGTGTGGAGAAAAGGGAACCCTTATGCACAGTTGGTGGGAATGCAGATTGGTGTAGCCACTGTGGAAAGCAGTATGGAGTTTCCTCAAAAAATTAAAAATGGAAATGCCTTATGACCCAGCAATTCCACTTCTGGGAATATATCCAAAGAAACCCAAAACATTAATTCAAAAGAGTGCATGCACTCCTATGTTCATTTCAGTCCAAGATCTGGAAGCATCCCAAGTGTCCATCAGTAGATGAGTAGATAGAAAGCCAGTCAGTGAAAGACAAGTATCATGTGATCTCACTTCTATGTGGAATGTAATAAACAAAATAACTGACGAACAAAATAGAAACAGAGGCATGGATACACAGAACAGATGGACAGCTGTCAGAGAGGAGTAGGGAGGGAGGACTGGATGAAAAAGTGAAGGAGTTAGGCAAAGAAGATATATTCATAACCCATAGACAGACAAGAGTGTGGTGATGGTCAGGGGGAGGGGGTCATTGGCAGAGGGGAGGGGGACAAAGGGTGGGAAAATGGGGACATCTGTAATAGGGTAAACAATAAAAATAAAGTTTAAAAAATGCTGTGGTACATTTACACAGTGGAATACTACTCCACTTTAAAAAAAAAGAGGTAAATCTTACCTTTTGTGTTAGCATGGATGGACCTGGAGAGTATTATGCTTAAATGAAATAAGCCAGTCAGTGAAAGTCAAATACCTTATGATTTCACTTATATGTGAAATCTTATGAACAAAATAGAAACAGACTTATAGATACAGAGAAAAGACAGATAGCTGTCAGAGAGGAGGTGGGTTGGGGGACTGGGTGAAAAAAGTGAAGAGATTAAGTAAGGAAAAAAACTAATAGACACAGACAACAGCATAGTGATTACCAGAGGGAAAGAAAGGTGGAGGGAAGTAAAATAGGGTAAAGGCAGGATAAATGGTGATGGAAGGAGACTTGAATTGGGGTGATGAACACACATTACAATATGCAGATGATGTATTATAGAATTGTACACCTGAAACCTATATAATTTTATTAACCAATGTCACCTCAATAAATTCAATTGGGAAAAAAAAAAGAGTAGTAAGGGGAGCTTCAGGAGCTCTCTGAGGTTTTGGAGCCCATCCAGGAGACTTCTTAGAATCCTAGCTCTCTGTTTACTTCCAAAATTCTGCTGAAGGGGAGGGGGGCAAGTATGTAACAAGTAAAGCCTAAAGCAAACTCTATTATTCCAAATCAATCTCTAAGCAGTCCCAGAGACACCCCCCCCCCCTCCAA